TGCTGAAAAGTTACTTTTAAGTTAGTTTTGTCTTATTTCAATTGTACTAAGATATTTGCACTAGAAACCAGACAAAATACACTTGGTAAGATTTTGTTTTTGCAGTGTTGGACCTTATGTAAAAATCCACTCCAGGTAATTTTCACAAACTGCTTCATTTCAACAGCAAGTTAAACTTTTTTATAACAAACAGATTTTAAAAAATGTACTTTCCTCTTACTATAAAAGGCAAGAAATAAATCTGCATGTTCACTCAATAATATTATACTGCAACAAGATGTATTTAACTGCAACTAAATAGTATGAGAAATAATATTACAGGAGAACCGTGTCGTGTGTTTGCAGGACTAATTTAAAAATAATAAAAACTATTTATGTTTTCTGGCTAAAAGCAGCTTGGAGAATCTTTTTCGATGTAGTTAAATCCTTAAAGTGTAGTAAAATGACACATAAAATGCTTCATAGTATACCAAAACTGCCAGAATTAGAAACACATTTTGAAATATACATTAACAGAGAATTAAACTTTATCACGAAATACATTTTATCCTTTAATGTATTATTTATCCTTTTTTTGCACTTAAATATTAATGTAACTGTATTTATTGGAATTATTATTTTATCTGTTAGTATAAGTTACTAAAAAGGCTTAAGTTTTCTAAATATAATATGTCTATATATAAACATGTGTTGAGCCATTGATTTAATTTTATATTTACTCTTAAGTTCAATGGTTTTAGTCTCTGTTAGGCTAAGGCTGCAACAATTTAATGATCAAATAATCCTTAATCCTATAAACTTTATATAGTCTACAAGTAAAATAATACGTGTAAAAATAAAATCCCTGCAGTAAAAAAGTACTAAAATGTCAACAATTCACTGCATAAAATAGTTTCAGAGCAAAGCAAATCTAAGGCACTAAAATGGCTGCATGCATGACGGCGTCTTCATAACAATATTAAATATTCATGGTGCCGCCACCGAACAAGGTGGGGAATTTTGCAACATGTCACTGTACGTTGACTACATTTGCATATTTGCTCTGCTGCCATAGTAAAAGCAAAAACACACCAGCAGACAGAGCATACGGAAGACAATTAGGGCCACAAATAAAGAAAAGCATTACCAGCTTTTTCTTTAAAAAAGATGGGAATTAAAGATGGGAGATTAAAGCCTCAGATTAAATTCAGACTTTAATCTCTGAATTCTGAAATTTCTTCTCTGAATTTTTATTTATTTCTCAGAATTTGGACTTTGATCTAAAAATTCACCTTTTTTTCCCCATCAGCATTCCATCGTTTGTGTCAGAATTTGATCCCAGAATTCATATTTTTTTCAGAATCCTAAAAAAAGTATTCTGAAAAATTCTGATGAAAGTCAGAATTTGGACTTTCATCTCAGAATTCTGACAATTTTTCTCACAAGTTAAACTTTTTTTGTTCTCAGAATTCAGACTCTCCCCCCCCCTGGATTTAGGTCAGAATTTGGACTTTAATTTCAGAATTAAGACCTATTTCTTAGAATTCACACTTTTGTATTGTTAGAAATTCAGTCCAATCTCAGAATTCAGACCCATTTCTTGGAATTTGAGGCATAATGTAAGAAATCAGACTTTGGTCTGAAAATTTTGATTTTATTCACAGAATTCAGAACTTAATCTCAGAGTTTGGTCCTTTTTTCCTCAAGATCTGGGTCAGAATTTGGACTTTAATCTCAGAATTCTGACTTCAATTTCAGACTTAAGACCAATTTTTTCAGAATTGACAGTTTTTCCCCCTCAAAATTCAGATATTAATGTCAGAAATCCACTTCAATCTCAGAATTAAAACTGTTTTCCCCCCAGAATTCAGACATCAAGGTTAGGATTTGAGCTTTAACTGTTTTTTGTCATAATTCCAGCAAATTTTTTCAGACTTCAGACATTAATGTCAGAATTTGATCTCAGAATTCAGACCCATTTCTTAAAATTCAGACTTAAATCTCAGAATTTTGACTTTATTCTTAGAATTCAGACTTGTGTTCAGAGAAAATAAGTCTGAATTGCTTTTCTTTCAATTTCTTCAACCCTCTTCCATAAAATCATGTCTATAGCAGGGCTCTTCCACAATTGTATGTAATTATTGTGAGTTAAATGCTCCCCTGAGACTTTTTCCTGGAGCTCTCTGTGGCCCTGCAGGTCCATTTTTCAACCAGAGGAGGGTTTATCCTCAACCTCACCTGTATTAAAGCACATCATGCGGATTCATTTAGTATTTTTATTCATCTTTTTGCACTCACCATGTGTGTAAATGTTCCCAAGTTCATTGTGGAGGTAAAACAGGCTCCTGATGCAGTCCTGCACGGAGGAGATGGGCCGGTATCCAGTCAGGACGTATTTATTGAACTGGAGATGTGGCGGGGAGCTGGCCCAGTCCAGCAGCCTCGGTCCGTTTAAAAAAGCCATGGCGAACAGAACCGTCAAAAGGACGCCGCCGAACAGATAAAACACAGACTGCACCCCTATGTACACGTTCAGCAGGATTATTGCGACCAAAACCTTATGAGATATCATTGGTGTCTGTTTTTTTGTTTTTGTTTTGTGTGTGTGAGAGCTCACGTCAAGTCTCTAAGCGCTACCCGGCAACGGCGCGTCCGTCTCGGCGCTGTTTGTTCTGAACCCCCGCTGTCCGAGCGAGTGTCATCCGCAGGGATGGAGGCGGACACGGCCAGCCATACGCATGACGGTCTACGCTCCGGACGGTCATTACATTATTCGGCATTGATGAAATGTGTGCGCGGCGCCTAGAAGCGCAGAGGACGGGACGTTTCCTGACATCTTAAAGCCGCTTCTCGGGGATTTACTCAACGCTCCGGTGCGGCAGGGCGGGCTGGAAGGATTCTCGGGCGGTGATGCTGCGAGAGCCGCAGGTCCATCCGACTCCAGAGGATGCTACTAGCTTGACTCCAGCGGCCAGATTTACTCACGTTAGAGCTCTAGGTCAAACGAGGAGAATTAACTCGGTCGGCTGTCTTTCGCTGAGCTTTTCAAAAACAGAGAAGCTCCGTGATTTTCCAGCGGAGATTTTGAAGGACTACGGGCTAGCAAGCCGGGCAGGCGGCTACCAACGTCCGGTGTCAGGGGGTGAGGAAGCTGGTGTCTGAGCCGGCCTTTTCCGCATTCTCAAGGCCCGGTGAATCATTTTAATTTTCCCCATATTATTTCTGATCCCGTTGTCTCCTAGCATTGATTCCGGCGGACAGCATTCCTTAAAAAGCGGCTCCCTCTCTGTCGGCCTTAGATCCGCTGCATCGCCTCCAACAGTCAAGCTAGCTCACTGTGAGCGACACTTCCGGCTGTTTCTTTTCAAAATAAAGTACTCGCTGTAGAACATGCCAGAAAGGAACATTTAGTGCCGCTTAATTTTTTCATGGCACCTTCAGTCTCTATGCATGCAGCAGGAACCCAGAAAGCAGGAAAGTAACGATCTTACATGAAGTGCAGAGTTGGGTAGTCACTAGTTACATAAAATTACATTTACTTGAGTAACCTTTTGGAAAAAATTACTTTCAGGAGTATTTTTCTACGCTTTACTGTTTACTTTTACTTGAGTAATTTTATTATGAAGTATCGCTACTTTTACTTGAGTAAAATTTCTCGGTATTCTCTCAACCCTGAGTAACTTCACTGAATGAAGAACGAGACGTTTTTAACCAAAAAATTCACCAGATACACACGCAATTTTATTTTGAAATAAATTGATTTGGAAAAATGCTTCTTTTGCCTGATTCTGGTAATTTTGTAATTAAATAGATTACTTAAATTTAGGACTATACCTACATTTCAGATATTTTATTTAGGTCTGTCTGATGATGTAATTTATAAATGTATAAATTATTGGTAAGTTGATCAGTTACTCAGTACTTGATAAGGTCAAATAATTACTAAATAGTTTTTACTCTTACTTGAGTAACTGGGTGGTTAACAACAACAATTTCCATTTTAAAAAGTAATTTCACACACATGCACATATCAGATAACCCAGTACTACACTAACAAGGTGCAGTCCATTAGGTTGTTTAATGGACTAATTGAACAAAAACATTTATAAAATTGGTTTTGTATGATCATTACCATCCCAAAAGTTTCTAAGTACTGTTCTAAAAATAGATAGAAGTCAGGATCGACTTTCTGTCGTCTCAGAAAAAACACATTCTGTAAAAAGACAAAATAAAGGGAATATTTTCTTTAAAGCAAGAAAAGAAATTCTGTTTTATATTGTAAAAACATGATTTAAAAGTCAATTTAAAAAGGTCAGCTTTTCCAATCCTCAAGCTAATAAAATTAGCTTGAAGATTCTCGGCTACCCAGTCCAACAACTCTATGAATTTATTAATGATATGAAGATATTTTTAAACCAAAGCCAGCTGGAAATTACTTTACAAGTTACTGATCAAGCCCAAAATCTCTGTATAGACTCAGATTGGACCTCCAGAGACACATTAAGACAGTTACAAAGTTGACCTTCTATCACCTGAAGAATATTTTGAGGATCTTGAGAAACTCAAACATGGGTTTATGTCTCATTTATTACTGCGGCAGTGTCCTCACAGGTCGCATTCTGACTAAAACCAGGGAGATGGAGCTCATCACCCCAGTTCTAAAGTCATTACTCTGGCTCTCTGTGGCTCAGAGAAATGACTTTGCTGTTAGTTTATAAATCACATCTGCTGTTGTTCTATCAATCTTCCAGATCACTCAGGTCTTCTGGTTCTGGTCTACTCTGCATCCCCAGAACCAGAACCAAACATTCAGCTTTTGTGCACCACAAATCTGTAACAAATGTCCAGAAAACTGCAAAAATGCTGAAACACTGAGTTAAAAACTCATCTGTTTAGAGCTCCCTTTGATTAATAATAACTGTAACATCTTTAATTGTTCTCTATAATCCAATGTTTCTTTTTGTTATTTTACCACTACAATATACTTTTTAATGTTTTCATCATTTAAGCACTTTGAATCGTTTTGTTGCTTTTCTGTACGATTACCATGCAACCATATAATGCCAAGTATATTATAATAATAATTAATGAACTCATTTGAACACATTCCAAAACACACAAAAAAAATTTTTAAGTGAAAAATCATTCCTAAAATGTGGGGTATTTTTAATAAAAAGGTTTTAATAATAATGTTCTGAACTTCAGTTTGTGAGTAAAGTCTAGAAGCAGCAGGTTATGGCCTGTAATTCTCTGAAAAGATGTTGAAGATTTGGGTGAATCAGACCCCACTCTCCCCTCCCTCTGTTTTCTGAACCAGATGACTGGTGATTCTGTAAAACAGAAAAAACCAGATCTCCCACTGGACAAAGCAAACATGGCACATTAATCAGATGTGGTTCTGCTTTTACTCTGACTTGGGTTTCTGTAGAAACTGATTAATTTCAAATAGAGAAAACGATGAATAGATTTAAAGTATTTTAATTTTACCTCCATGTTTCTTCTGACTGGAGTGTCGTCATTTAGAAACTTGAGTCAGAGTGAGAATATGTGAAAGTTTAGGAGAATTGAAAAGAGGTCATCCAACCTACCAACGATAAATTAGAAAAAAACTGTGGAAATGTAAAAAGAGGATTAAATTTATGTAGCAAAAAGAGTCTTTAGCATTGTCTCAAATATCTTGCAACTGTAAAAACAATCATTTGATATTGCATATCTGTTTGCATGAACATTCGCTGGTGAATATTAAGAATTACTGAGCAATTATGTTTTTCAGTTTTTCACACCATACGACCAGTGGTGGTGTACCTGCTATGACCCAGTTTTCCATGTGGCTTAACACAATGCAGACACATGTCTTTCAGTATCTCTCTTTTGTCACCAAAACCCGCACAACAAAAAGCAGGTGAGAAAACTAATGATTTGAATTCACATGTGTGAACAGATAAAAGGTCCAAGAGAAAGATGAACCTCTTTTTTTGGCTCTCTTGGTCCTTATTTGAGACTGGTCAGACAGGAAAGTGACGATGAGAGAGAGAGAAGACGTTCAGCAAAAGGTCTGCAGAGCGGGATCGAACCCAAGACCTCCAGATCTGGGTCACACATTAGAACTACTGCAGCGCTGCAGAATGATGGATGGATGGATGTGAATCTTTCATATAAAATCCAACATTAAAAGCGTTTGGTCGGAGTAAATTTACTGTTACTGTAAATCTAAATATTTATTCATTGGTTATAAATTATTGATAAACATTTAACCCAATGGCCTCCAGTGGTCCGGATGTGCGGCTCTTTAAAGAAGCAACATGAGAATTGATCTGGTTGAAGCAACTTCGCATGCATCTCTGCATGTTTGTGTCTCTGCTATTATTTTGTTGTTAAGCCCCTTTAGCAATAGTTTGTGTGTCTCAAATACTTTATTTTGTGCAAATTACTCAAACAGTTAAAAAAGCCCACATCATGTACTTCATTTGACACTGCAGACCTGATGCATCATCATTTTCCAGTGAATATTAAAAATTTTTGAGCGATTAACAAGAATTTTGGAGTTTACCATCATGTGACTGAGGGTGGTGTACGTGTTAGTGCCCCTGTTTTCCATGTGGTTTAACACAATGCAAATAAATGTTTCAGTGTTTCCCTTTTGTCACCGAAGGTCACAAACCAAAACCAGGTGAGAAACGACTTTTCGAAAGGGGCTGTAGTGCATCAGCTGCATCCATGCAACAATATAACAACGCAGCGCTGCTTCTGACGCTCAGTGCTGAGGAAATGTATGCAGCGCAAAGGTAAGTCTGTACTTTCTCTATGAACGTTTTACATTTAAAAACATTTCATTTTTAGCTAACACAATAACTAAAAACTGTAATAGTGATAAATTCTAAAGTATGCTTGTTTAAATACTTAAAATAAAATATATTGGCATTTTTCGAGAACTTATCAGTTGTAAACAAAACAAGACACTGGAGAGAGAGAGAGAGGTGGGAGTTGATAACAATAGGATACGATCAAATAATGTGTTTAAATATAAGCTAGGGTGTTTTGGTTACTATAAACATTGTTTCTCTTGCCTCTAGATTAAAATGTTTTTACGCTCTAACTGCTAAACAGTGACTGAAAGTGAAACGGCAACTTAAATGAAAGATGAGCTCTCTGAAGGGTCTTAGTTGTGGTTTTATGCTGTCTGCCAGTCACGGATTCAGAGATCAGACACAATTTAAAAACCGTCTTTGTTGGCTCAAAAATCAAGGCTACATATTTAATCTGCTCACCAAGTCTAAAAGTCCAAAGGTTTGACATTTTCTTAATGCAGAATGACTGAAGTGATTGTTTCAGAATGAGACCAACACTCAGCTCAATCAGGGTAAAGATCACAGAACAGGTGAAAGACTTTGGTGTCATTTTCATCTCAGATCTGTATTTAAGCAGCAATAGAAGGTCTGTTATAAATTAACTTACTTTAAAAATGCCAGAATCAGTGGTGGAGAAAGTTTTGAAACACTGTGCTTAAGTAAAAATACAAACAAAAGCAAAAATGCAATTTAGTCAAAGCAAAAGTTAATATTTTTACTTGAGTAAAAGCATGTGCATTTAAAAATACTTAAAGTATTGAAAGTAAAAGTGCTTTCTGAATGGTTTCTCTAATAAAATGGGTATAAAGTGTGTCTACCGTATGTATATTTCTAAATATTAGGACATCAATATTGTGTCATTTTAAGGAATAACACTGCAGATAATGCATGTTTTTACTGTGTCTGTGAAACACTTCAGGGATAACCTGCAGTTAAATGAGATTAAGCAGGAATGATTACACATTTAAAGTTTTTATTTAACACAACACACAGATAATGTGTTATTTAAACTGCAGTAAACACTTTCCAGGAAAAGTTGTCTGCCTGAAAAAAAAACAAAAAAACATGTTCAGGTTTGGTTGTAAAGTACGAGAGGGTAAAAGCCACACTGATAAAATGAGCAAAATAAAATTATAAAAATAAAGTCAAAATATTACAAGAATAAAGTTAAAATACTAAAATAAAATTGTAGCTCTACAAGAATAAAGTGGAAATATTATGACTTTTATTCTCGCATAACTATTCTTGTATGACTTTCCTCTCAAATAACTTTAGTCTTGTAATATTATGACTTCACAATAGTAAAAGCAACATTCAGTTTCTATGCACCACAAATTTGGAACAAACTTCCAGAAAACTGCAAAACAGCTGAAACATTGGGTGCCTTTAAATCTCAACTTAAAATCCACCTGTTTAGAGTTGCTTATGGCTAAATTAGGGTTAGAGTGTGGGTTTTGATGTCTTCGATGGTTTTATCTTTACTTTTTATCTATTTATAAACTTTTTTTTATTCCTCTTTCTAATGGTGTAAAAGTGGTGAGTGCCTGAGGGTCATTGCGCGCACAGAAAAACCCTGTAAATTCTAGACCAACGGGTAAAAATAGTGCACAAAAATCCGTGTATGACGGCAAAGTCCTAGCGCAAAAATTCGCACGACAGGTGGACGGAGCCTGGTGCTGCAAGGTTGGAGACCTTGTCCTGTCAGGCGACGGGGCCTGGATACCCGTGTTAAACAGACAGCAGAGTCCAGCGACGACAGGCGCTTAAATTCCCTAACAAAACTATGTTTTTATCTTTTTTTAAAAAAAAAAGTAAATCGTTCTGTTTATTCAATGTCACATGCTGTTTTTATTTTTATTATGTAAATCACCTTGAAATGCCTTGTAGCTGAAATGTGCTATACAAATAAAATTTGATTTGATAAAAAAAAAAAAATTCTTAGTATGGCTGTAATACTCCACCATAGCAAAGGGATCATGATAGAGAGATTTTTTAAAAGACACCAAGAACCAACCAGTTGATAACAATCCAGCTTTCTATTGCTTGTGATGGCTTTGTAAGCTAAGTTGTTAAATAAAAATGTCTTTTATTTTAACAGAAACATGTTGCTGTTGCATGTGTGCATCAGTGCCGGTGTTCTGCTGTGGCTCCCTCGGTGTACCACAGGTGTTTGCACCGAAGGGACACCCAAACAGTGTCAGGAAGCAGATATCGCCCCGGGAACCAATCTGGCAGGCGAAGGCTTTGATATAACCACCATGAAGCGCAAAGGAGCCTTCGTGCTCAACATGGATGCATGGCGACGCAAGAATAAAAAATGCACCCTGTGCGTCAACCCCTTCATGGAGAACAAGAAGCAGAAGCTGCCTCTGTCCGTGCTGGACTGGAGGGCCAAGCAGTCCTGCAACTCCAAGGTGTCGTCCAAGCTGCACAAATCCAGCGAGTCTCTGGTCAGCTCCACTTCTTCTTCCGTTGAGAACAACTGGAAAGTGGGCTTGGAGTTTCAAACATTAAAAACGGGCGGGTCGTTGATGCTGGCTGGAACCAACTCCAAAGTAGCCGATTACTCCATGGAGAAAACAAAGAACGACAAATTCAGCTTCTCCAGCCTCGGCATGTCCTGCGAGTACTACAGGTAGGAAAACCAGAGCCCAAACTTTTTTTTAATGGAGTTGAAACGATTAATCATGATTAATCAATTATTAAAATAATCGTCAACTGACTTGGTGTTTGATTAATCATTAAAGCTGCAGAATGTAGCATTGGTTAAAACTGTCACCATGTTGTCATAATTTGAGACAGATAATCTATGAAAAGATCAATATCCTCTACCATCTGAATAAACACACAACTCCTGACCAAAAACAACCAATCAGAACCAGGAAGAGGGTCTTAGCGCTGTCAATCAACCAGGTGTATGCGCTTTAAATGTGCTAATGGTGGAGAACAACTCACCAATACAGGAAAAACAGCAATCCACCATCATCTGTGGCTATGCTACGTAGCATTAGCATTCGTGGCAGACTCTGTTGTGTTGTGGTGAACCAGCTGTAGTAGCAAAGAGCAAAGAGGGAGAGTGGTCAGATGGGCGGCATGTGCACAAGAATGACTGACAGTGCTAAGACCCGCCTCCTGGCTCTGATTGGTTGTCTCTACTTAGCACTGGGAGAAGGCAGAGGAGCTCGATGTACAGCATAGTATGAAGATTATCTGCCTCATACTATGCAGCCATGACATGATGACCGTTTCAACAAATATGTAAAAAAAAATGCATTAAAGTCACATACTACAGCTTCAACTGGAGTAATGGTCATCAACTAATTTAGTAATCAATTAATCGCTAACTGAAGTTTACAGACTTAAAGGCCATATACTGAAGCAGTAATTTAGCCAAAAGTGTACAAAACATATATAAACTTTGCATTTAAGATAAAAAAAACTCTGCCTTTGTCTATAAATATGTTCTACCCAAAACTGCTCAATTGCAGTTTTAGCCTCACCTGGTTCAAATGATGTAAAAAACTAAAAAGTCTCTTTTTAAGTACCTTTTGCTATTCAATTACTAATTGGTCAATCCAAAAATGAACAGATGAACTTCTGGCATTGTATGAAAAAGATTTAAATGAAAAAAATAGCACAAGGTGTGTTTTTTAAAATCACTTCAATCAAATAATCATCAGAATAATTGATAAATTAGTCAATCACTAAAAATAATCATTAGTTACAGCCTAAATATTTTGTTTGCAAAACATTTGTTTCATTGTTTATTTTTGTTCCTGCCTCGCTGAAATCAGCTACCGAGTGTCGAACTCGCCCAGGCTGCACAGGGAATTCAGAAAAGCGGTGAAACAGCTTCCTCCGGTGTACAGCTCCAACAGCAAGGCGGAGTTTTATAAACTCATCGACAACTTCGGCACCCATTACATCAGCAAGGTGACACAAACCAACGCAACAGACTTTAACACCACCGCACTGTTTTTAGGCTAAATTGTTAAATATGTCTGTAAAATGTGTCTTTCCAGGTGAAGTTGGGTGGAGATGTTCAGTCTGTCACCAGCATTCGTCAATGTCAGGCCAGCCTGCAGGGCTTCAGTGCAGAGGAGGTGCAGATGTGCCTGGAGGTGGAGGCGTCTGCAAGCTTCAGGGTCACAGTAAAAACTGAATCAAAACACTGCAAGAAGGACGTAGAGAAATCAGAGAGCAAGACAGCGTTCTCAAGCCTCTTCAGTGACAGGTACAGAGATTCAGTCACTTTTCTCTGTGTGATCCTTTCTAAACTAAAAGAGGTTCCTACATTTCTTCCAAATGGAGTCTGATGTGTTGCTATTTCACTGTAAAAACACAAAATCTAACCAGTTTCTTGTTCAAATATCTTTGCAAACTCCAAAAGACAAAACTGTTTATTTTAGCTAACTTTTTATCAAAGGATAAGCGTTATGCAAGTTATAGTCTTTTTTTAAGTGGGATGTTGCTTTCACAAAGGTTATGTTGTGCAATGTTTGCTACAAAAAAGATTATATTGAATAATCTTTGACTTCTCGACAGGTTTACAGAAATCAAAGGGGGCCATACTACAGAGCCAGACCTCCTCTTCTCCGCTGATAAAGACCCACCGGCCTACAAGGAATGGCTCAAGTCGATTCCACAGAGCCCTGATATAATCTCGTATTCTCTGGGCGCTCTGCATGAACTCCTGCCTCCTAAATCAGCAACATGGTCCAACCTGCGCTCAGCCATCTCCCATTACATCCTGGAGAAAGGTCTGCTGGTCAACTGCACCGAGCGTTGTAGAAAAGATTCGAAGGATCAGTGCGTCTGCCAGTGCCAAAATGATCCGGCGGTGAACCAGGACTGCTGCCCGGTGAAGAAAGGCATGGCCCACCTGAAAGTAACCGTACAGAGGGCTACAGGTCTGTATGGAGACTACTTCACATCCACAGACGGCTTTGTGAAAGTCTTTTACAATAAAAAAGAACACCGCACACAAGTCATCAACAATGACAACAACCCAAACTGGAAAAGGGTGTTTGATCTGGGTTCGCAAGATCTGTCTATAGCAAAAACAGTGAAATTTGAAGTCTGGGACCAGGATAACGGCTGGGACGACGACCTCTTGGGATCTTGCGAGAAGCTTCTGCAAAACGGCACCAAGGAGGACGTCTGCAACATGAACCATGGCCGGCTGTACTTCAAACTGGAAGTGAAATGTGCTCCGAGTCTGACCGGCCCTTCATGCTCAGAGTACAAACCTACACCGATGAATCAGAGCCTGAAGAAGCTTTACGTGTCGCGTCACGCCCAGCCTATCCCCAAAGCCATGCTGCTGGAGATGGGAGTGTTTCTGAACGAGTCCGTGTCTGCAAAGCTAACCTTTAGGAAAAACCAGAATATTACTGCTAAAAGGCAAACATATTATCTTAAATAAGGCAAATGTTTAACACTGCAAAAACACAAAATTATACCAACTACTTCTGAACAAGTTTCTAGTGAAAATATCTTCATACATTTGAAATAACAAATCTAACTTACAAGTAACTTTTCTGCAAGATATTGGAGATTGTTTTAAGTCAGTAATTCCTGAAATGTGACCTATTATTCTTCCTTGAACAGATTAGGATAGGCTATGGACTACACAAAATATGTTCATTAAAATTTTTTTTGCACAAAATCATTCTTAGATTTGAGTCTGTTCAGTTCAGAATGAGCCGTTTCATGGCCGTTTCATGGCCTCTTGTCACTTGAAATCCAAGCTTCTGCTGGCCACTCCTCCAAACTCAGCATTTACACTCACACATGAAAATGGCTGCAAACAGATGTGCAACCATATATTTTTGAAAAGCAGAAGTGGGGCCTCCAGCACAACCAACAGGAATGCATCAAGTTGTTTCTGCATGGTAAGTCAACATCAAAACACTTACCTTTTCCAACAGCCATTGTACAGCACATACAGTAGTAAAATCAGCTGCCTAACCATGGTGGAGCTCCACTCAGGTTGCTAGGTAACTGGTGGAATTCTGCTGGGGTTGCTAGGTAACGGGCCTGGGCTTCTGATTTATGACATTACTTTCCGGAGATGTTTGAAAAGCCTCAATTTCAAGACACAAAAAACATTAATTCATTGTTCAAAACTGGCCGAGTGGCCAGAGCTTTTAAGAAGCAACAAAGACCCAAATGAAAGTTCAAAAAAGTACATTTTTTCACATAATACGTCCTGTTTAATATTGATGGAAAAAGTACTAGTTCCACTGGCAGATTATTTCACTTATTATAACAAGACATTTTTCCCATGTTATGTGAAATGATCTGCCAGTGGAAATAGTACTTTCATCAATTTTAAGGAATTATTGACTTAAACAAGCTCCTATATATAACTGAAAAGTTCCTTGTAAGTTAGTTTTGTCTTATTTCAAGTTTACTAAGATAGTTACACTAGAAACTAGACAAAAATACTTGGTAAAATTTTGTGTTTTTGCAGTGAGATTCATTAAAGCTGCGGGCTCTCTATTGCTGAGATTGTTTTATTATCTGCACCTTTGCTTTAAATGACAATCTTTTTAGAAAAAAAGCTAGGAACCATTTCTTAATAAAATAAAATAAATAAATAATTGCACGCCCCCAGATGTAGAGGCAATCAGACAGAAGATAAGAACAATTTCCTTCCCTGTAGGTCTAATGAAAACATAAATTCACAGAGGATATTTCACCATCTGTTAAACTCTGATTTTTGTAATTTTGGTCCATTTATGTATTATTTTTTGTGATTTTCTCATGCGTTTGTTCATATATATTTTTTGTTCATTCATTTCTGTTTATTTTTAATTTCTGTTCATTACTAAAAGTAGTCTGCATGCATTGCCTAACATCCCCTTTCGTAAACAGGTGAGGCCATTCCTTATTTCCATGCATCTTATAATTAAAGAATAAAGTAAAAGCATTTTGCTTTTGCAAAGTAATGTATTAACATAGTCTGTTTTCTCTTACAGAAGTGGTAACTGTGATTATTACAAATAATTAGAATAATGTGATTGTTGTTCTCTTCAGTTTCACGATAATTGAAGGACAGGTTAGGTTAAACTTATTTCTGTTATTTGAATAATCTACACTGCTGAATTAAGCTGTACTGACGCTTGCAAAGCATAGCTAATAAAAAAAAAGTTTATAAAATTATAGAGAAGTAGTGCACCTGCATGTTTTTGTACTTTCATTTGAGTCTACTCCTTCTAAGAATGTCTGAAAAAAAAATCAGACGATTTTAAGCAACAGTTTAATGTTTTTTGGTGCTGCACCATTACCTAGCAACCCCAGCTGAGCTTGGCCTGGTTACCTAGCAACCCCAGCTCAGCCTGGTCCCGTTACCTAGTGACCCAAGTGGAGCTCCAGCATGTTTGGTCAACTAATTTTTCCGCTGTATGGGAAAGTCAGCTGTTCTGTTGCTGACTTAGCAATTCAGAAAAGATGCTTGTATCAGTAGCGCCTGCAGCTGCACCTTGAAATATTACTTTAAGTAAATAAAGAAAAGAATAGGTTTGGGATTTTTTATTATCTAACCCTCTTTACTATTAGCTAAATTGTGGAGAAAAAAAGATCTTATGTGTCAACACATCTTGCAGCATCAGAGCAGTCATTTGGATCCTGCCTGAGATTTCTAACGTGCTTGGTTCTGGCAAGGTCGCCCTTTATGACCTTTTTTTGTGGTTTCACGAACTGAAGAGGTAATGGGTCACCCGGTTGGCCGACAATGACATCTGCTGCCCCCTACTGCCCCCTACTGCATCTTACTGCCTAAACTAAACAGTTAAATCTAGTCAAAACGTTTGCAAAAATAGTTGAAATTAAGCAAACATCATTAGTTCACCTTCTCCTCCTCTGGACGTCGCAGACACACCACATGGGTAGGCTTTGCTTTCATGTCTTTGTGTTGGAGATGTGGTTGTGCTCTTGTGGGTCAGGTGCAGTGATAGTATTGTGACTACCCTCCATAATATCCTGCAGGCGCCTCTGGTTTGTATAATGTTCAAAGACGGTTATAATTCTTCTATTTGCAGCCACTGAGTTGGGGCTGTGGCCAGCAGCATTTTATACGGATTTAAAGTGACAGACGCCCTAAAAAAGCTCATTCTGAACTGAGCAGACCAAGAATGATTTTTGCAACAAAAAAATGTAATGAACATGTTTTGTATAGACCATAGACCTATTCTAATCTGTGCAAGGAAGAATAAAGGTCACCTCAAGTTCTTCAAAGGTGGTACAACTGTCACTGTGTGTGGTTTATATTCTACTGGTGCTTTTCTGTTTTGTGTATCTCTTTTTCCTTTCAGCTGATTTAATAGGGCCTAACTTTTTCTCCAACAGTCTGACTTAGTTTTTCTCCTCTTCTCATAAAATATGACTACATCCATCCACTATTTCAGGGAAATGACATATTTTTTGGTCTCTGGTTTCTCTCTGACTGATAAACTGGCCTGAGTTTCCTCTCGTACGTTATACATATGAGTTTACATCGACCACTTGCTGCTCTGAGGAAAAGCATACGAAACCTTTCAACCACACTTTTTTTATGTTCTTCCTGCACTCGTTTAAGACCACTGTCACCTCAACCCCCTCACCACCTCCTGCCCCATTTCTCTGAACGTTAAACGCTTTATATCGACATATGTTCACTCAGTTTCACTCCTGCACAAAGAACAGGCAACAGATCGGTGAGTCGTCCCTGATTTGCTATGAAATCGATGTGTTTTAACTTAAACAAGTGGATGCAAGTTTTGTTATATCGTTCGGATGGGTAACAGAAATGCTTGTGTTATAGTTGCGATTATATTTAACACTGTTTTCACTAAACTCCTTTGAGGTGTTTGTGTCATTATTAAATACAGCTGAGTAGAAAGAAAGGTCACCAGCCTTCTGCACTGCAGAAGTGCAAAATCTTACCGAGTATTTTTGGTCTAGTTTCTACTGCAAATATTTTTGTACACTTGAAATAAGACAAGTATGTTTTCACCAAGATATAGGAGCTTGTTTTTAGTCAATAATTCCTTAATATTAATTACTATACTGAGTATAAATGCAGAAATCATCATGTCGAAGGGAAGGGGAAAAGTCAATAATTTGAGTAAATGTGGGACCCAAAAACTTAAGGGTTGGTAGAGAGAATTTATTTTAAAGAAAATATCCAGATGTTGCTAAAATATTCCAAAATGTTGAAAAGAAAAATGTTTGGCACAAAGAATGGAGGACCACAGTTAGACATGGTGGTGGCAGAATCATGCTCAGGGGTTACTTTAATAGAACCGTTTTAGGGTTGGGGTTTTTTATTTGTTTTGACCTGAAATGTTATAGTGTCATCTGGAAAACCAAAGTAGAAGAAAAAAGATTCCCTGTTTCCAGAAACTCAATGGATTCCAATTATAGATTCAAAGTTATCCAAAGATCTGGATAACTTTGGTATAGTTGAGACGGGAAATTACACAAAATCAAGACTGAATGTTGAAATTAGGTGCACATTTCTGCAACCCTCAAGCTGAATAATGTCTTTGCCGTTGAGCTACACAGGATAAATGTCAATATATGGAAAAAATATTAACTAGATGGCATTTTAATAGGGGTGGACGTACTTTGAGAGCCATAATATGCTTTGAAAATGTCCTTTACAGGGGGTCATGAAAAGATTTCACTCCATAAGGAGATAAATAGCTATTAAGTTAAGGTATTATTATAATACTATTGTTGTTTTGACACCATTTTCAAGCAATAATGACATTATAATGCAACAACACATTCTGAAAGATCAATAAACTTTCAATTCTAGTCAACATTTAACATAAACTAAAAGACAGGTTAAATATCCAAAATAAATAAACAAAACAACAGAAACAATAAATAAAATTAATTATAAAGTCTCTGTAAACAGAATTGTCCTTCAAAAACGTGGCTAATTGGGACCAAAGTACCAAACTGAAGACTTTAGTCATCACGTTTTTGATAGAAAGACAGAAAAGAGAAAAAAGAATAAATAATGCAAATGGAAACTATTGAGCTGTCTTGTGTCGTGATTAATTGATTTACTGCTTATTGCAACAGGCCTACACTTCTTTCACAGCAGCTGATGTTCTTAGTGGTTGCAGATATGAGAAATTTGCTAATAATATGCAACTTTACATTTCTCAGGTGATTATATTATGGAGCTTTTTAGTTACATACCCAAGTTTTTTTTTAAGTCACAAAGAGCTTCAGATGCAATAAACCAAAATGTTTGACGGAAACTCCTTTATTTTAAATTCTGGTGCACATCTTAACAGAATGTTGCTTAAAACTTAAGGTCAGGTAAAGAAAGTAATTGTTTCTCTTTGATCATTTGCATCTTGGTGGTAGACCACAGCAGTAAAAAAAAAAAAAAAAGGTAAACGAGATTAAGGTCAAAGTCATAGCTGAAAGAGATCAAAGATATAACGATACTCACAAGGCTTTGACCAGAGATTTTATCTTCTTTGTTATGAGCTGCATGAAAAATGTTGCTTGAAATAATGATTTCATGTAACGTCTGGACACATTTCAGGTCAATCAGGCCAGGATTTTAACTCAAAGCCTTGCTGAGAACAATGTTTTTTTTTCAATACAGTTTAGTTTTATTTTGTTGTGACTTTTTGTTTGGCAAATAAAAAATTCAGTAGAAACATGTCGCAGTACAACCGTTGGACAGACAGCCTACTGTGAGTTTAAGACTATAAATGACATCACTAACTCATTAAGAATGAGCTAAAGATTAATCATAACTGTACTATTTTTTTAATATTTTAATAGTTTTGATTCAGTAGTTAAGTACATTGCTTTATCCATCTATTTTGCATATCATTTTACTAATGATCTTAACATGGACGTCGGAAATGAGGATCGGGATTATTGAACTGAGCGGCTTTAGTTGTTTTTGCCAGTTTTTTCATGACTTCTACTTGTTCGAGTGAAGCTAATTTCTCTGTGAACCTAACTCAACGGGTTGGGGTTCATAGACGGCGGTACAAGTTTGAAACGGCTAGCTTAGAAACAGACCCATACCTCCTCCCTCCTGACGTGTTGCTCAAATTTCCGACTCTGCCTGAATTAACAACACATGATTTATATCACTGTGTCATAAACAGCGTTTCCCCTTCAACCGGAGAAGCTTCAAAAACGTACAGAAGACAGAAGAGATGCTAACCAGTTTTTTTTAATTATGCTAACCAGTTTTGTTCCGTACATGCTAGGCTACATGACGGTGGAGCATTGTTTCCATGGTTACGGACGGTTAGACGCGTATCTTCTCCATAATGCAATATTTGATATCTTTCTAATCATACTTACTTATAAAGTTTATAAACGTTACGTCTTCTTACATTGTAAAAGTGTGTTCACTGCAAATCCGCCATTACACCGAGGGCTACCAGTCATTATGATTAACAGCTGCCAGTCATTGGCTCCAATCGCCATCTTCCCTCATTAAAAGATAAAATAAAATGACAAGTTTGGTTTTCATCCTTGTCTGTTTGTGCAGCCGGCCGCTCAGCACCTTATGACCATTTTTGCTGCGAAATCAACTAAATAAAAGCGATATTAGGCTACCACGTGCGTTTTTTAACAGGCTTTACTATGAGCTCATTGGTTGTTTTTGACGGTTGTCATGGCGGAGTGGGCGGAGTTTTGAAGAGTGACGTCACGCGCAAAGAGTCAATACGCAGTGATTATTTTGATCTTTTTGTATGAAATAAACAATAAAATATACTTTTTTATTTAGTGTGTTTTCTAGTTTTTACTAATTAATTTTAGTTAAATCTTTAGTTTTAATTTAGTTTTTATTAGTTAAAGTAGTAGTTTTCGCTTTTTCATACTTTAATTGGTTTGTAGGTATTATGAATCTGTGTACATCCATTGGGTAATGAATACCCATAAAAGATACTATTTTCAAAAAAATGTATTAAAATTATTGATTGTGGTGTTTTATCCCAACTTTTTAGGATGCCTTTTTGCAGACTATCAATCAAGTTTATTTGTACAGCACATTTCAGCAACAAGGCAGTACAGAGTGTTTTACATCATGAAAACACAAAAATACAGTCGGCAATTGAGAAAACTTGTAAATATTTTACATTTTGTCAAGTGCCATCAAAATGTTTGTCAATGTTTAATTTATTATGGTTCAAAAGCAACTCTAAACAGGTTGGTTATTAGTCTAGATTTAAAGAACTAAGTGTTTCAGCTGTTTTGCAGTTTTCTGGAAGTTTATTCCAGATTTGCAGTGCATAGAATCATAATAAGCACTTCCAGGAGGGTTATGGTGTGCCATAACTGCCGACAGTTATGTAAACTGTTTACACGTCAATTCCAAAGGCTAATAAATAGATTAAATAAATGTGTTAGTTTTATAAACACACAATATAGTTCCGGTTAGTTATAGTTTTTCCCCATTAATCTTAATTTAATTTAATTGCAGTTTTTGTTATAGATTTTGCTGAGAAAAAGTTTTTCTCTTTCAGTTTACTTCCAAGGACAGCAGCATGTTCCTGTTGAGTTTTTCCATCTTTGCCGGCTTCCTGCTCTGCCTCCCTCAGTATTCGACCGCAGCCTGCACTGAAGGAAAGCCCAGAGAGTGTCAGGAGGCCGAATTCGCTCCTGGATCCAACTTAGCTGGGGAAGGCTTCGACATCACCAAGATGGAGCGAAAATCTGCGTTTGTGCTCGACATGAATCAGTGGAAACGCAAAGACAAGACTTGCACCCTGTGCACTAACCCGTTTCTGGAGGGCAAAAAGATGAAGCTGCCCCTGTCCGTGCTGGACTGGAGGGCCAAGCAGACCTGCAGTGCTAAAGTTTCCTCCAAGCTCCACAAATCCAGCGAGTCTCTGGTCAGCTCCAGCACCTCCTCTGTTGAGAACAACTGGAAGACCGAATTAGAAGTCGAAATGAAAGGTAAATCTGGCAGCCTGATGCTGGCTGGGACCACATCGAAGGTGGCTGAATATTCCATGGAGAAAACAAAGAATGACAAGTTCAGCTTTGCGAGTACCAGCATGTACTGTGAGTACTACAGGTAAGAAAAACGTTCTGCAAAACGATTAATATGTTTTCAGGTCAAACCAAAGTTTCAGAAGCATCTAAAATGCTTCTGAAAAGGGACCTGTTATGCAAAAATTTACATCTTAAACGTCTTTATTCTTCAATTTGGCTCTCAACTGCTTCTTAAACAGCCCAAGTGTTAAAAAAACAGCCATTTTTTGGAAACACGTTAATGTTTTATAGTGTCTGAAAAATAAGCCATTTCAAAAACCTCCCATTTTTTAAGTCACATTCCACAGGCACTGGGCCGTTACCTAGCAACTCCAGCAGAGTTCCACCGGTTACCTAGCAACCCTGGCAGAGTTCCACCCAACCGAAGAATCTAAGTTTAAAGTTGATGTATTATGCTCCCTTGCACCGGTTATTATAGGTCTAGATAGATAGCAATACATTGTTTGCATAAAATCGTTCTCAGATAGAGATTTTAATCTGATCAGTTCAGAAGGAGCTGTTTTATGGGCTCTTGTCACTTTAAATCAAAATATATTGCTGCCTAACTCAGCATTTACACTTACACATGAAAATGGCTGCAAACATCCATCCATCCATCCATCCATCCATCCATCCATCCATCCATCCATCCATCCATCCATCCATCCATCCATTTTCTTACTCCCTCGTTCCTATTGGAGTTGGGAGGGGTGCTGGTGCCTATTTCCAGCAAGACTGGCTGCAAACACATGTGCACAAACACTTATCTTTTCCAGCAACCATTGTACAGCGAACACAGTGGTAAAACCAGCTGACCAGATGTACTGGAGTGCCACTTAGGTTGCTAGGTTACGGACGGAGCTCTGCTGGGGTTGCTAGGTAACGGGGCAGCGGCTGCTGATTTGTTACGTCACATTCCGGAGGTTTCTGACATGGCTACATTTCCATGTACTCCTGCTTGAACAAACTTGAATCAAATGAATATTTAAAGACCAAACCTTTGAGAAACTCCCTGATCATTTTCTTCCCAGACCAACCTTGCCCAATATGAAAATAATCAACATAGTAATTGTAATATTTGGGTTTTCCAGTGTTTGCAGCAATGGTTATCATCATGCTTGTACAACAACCCACTTTTCTCTGCAGAATTGCAGCCACATTGGAGGTTAATCACCATTGACCTCAAACATAGTCATGGTGCAGCATTGGTTTTTCTCTTGAACTTTGTTTAGGCCACTGGGAAACATTTTTTTCTCGTCGTTCAGAGGTGGTCTTACTGTTGTACTTTGCATCATTGCCTTTCACTTAATTAGGGAAATTAAATCATTGTTTAAAGCTGTTTTTAAATATATATTCAGGCTATTTTTGTCTCCTAAAAATGTGCTTGATGATCTGAAACATTTTTTTACATTCACTTTTTTTATTATTATTTTTTAACAACATAAAACAAAAACTATTGCAGTTTGAGTCGATCTTAAACATTAAATGAGACACCAAGAGCCAAAAACAGAAGAAATCTTAACGGGGAAAACATTTTTCAGAACATAATTATGAATATTATATGAATTACCGGCTGAGAGTTTCACTGTTTCAATTCTGCAGAAATGAATCTTAAATTATGTTGCTTGATGCAAGATTTTAGCTGATAATCTCCTCTTGTTAATTTTTCTACGTTTTATGTTGTGCTCTGCTAATTTTAAATAACATTTTTTTTTAAAGTAGAGGAGAAATCATTGAAACTTTGAAATTCCTAGCTGGTCCACAACTGAAGCACAAACCGTTTCTTTGTCTGCTGTTGCATGCCGCATAGGCCAAGAAGACCAACAAGGTTTTATGTTTTTACGTTTAGTTTCTGTTTTTACTTGTAGAAATTTGTTGCCTGAGGTTTTACACCTTCTTGAAAAAAACCCGTGGTCATGACAACGACACGCAATGAGGCGGGAAGTGGGGGCACAAACATCCACACCTTTTACTCAAAAACATTATTGGGCACGCACGTTTATTCAGCTTGTATAAAAACAAAAAACAAAAGTTGTTGGAAGATGGTTGTCATTTTTACTGCTGTAAATAGACTAAAATTGTATTCTTGACCAAAAAATTGATCCAAAAGCTGAGGAAACTGCAAAACTTTTCATTCAGGCAAATAAGATTTAGTTTTTTTTTCTTCTTTGTTTCATTAATGTTGCGTGTTTGATTTATTGTTGATCAGGTAATCAAAAGAAAAGAACCCACAATAAAATTATTTTGCATTTTTAAATGGAGAAATGAAATTATGGTACTTTCAACTTATCTAAACTATATTTCATATTTTTTCATACCTGAAATATGGATTCATCTACGTCAACATATTAGGGACACAGTAGGTTCCAAAAGAGAAAGGGGGGGAAAAAACTCTGAAATTTTGAGATTAATTTCAGAAATTTTCTTAAAAAGATGGAAAAGTCAAATGTTTGACTTTTTAGAAGATCTCTGATATTAATCTAAAAATTTATTTGTTTTCTTTGAAAGTTTTTTGTCAGAAATTTACTCCTTTTATTTCCTATTTATGGAAATTTCCCATTCGTATTCGTCAAACCACAAAAGCTTTACCTTTATTTTTACACATTTACTTGTTAAAAAGTGAACATCGATGCACATTCAGGAATGTAAACGTTACATAAAATCTGCCAGATTTAGACTGAATTTTTCTGTCTAGATGCCTTTTGAGATGAAGTTTTCTTTGTGCTAATAGTTCATAACTTGCTTGTAGCATTAAACTGAGTTTAGTATCGTTTATTTGGCTGTTTTTGGAAAGATTTCATACCTCCACCTGGCATCAGTTCATCTGATAGAATCCACCAAGACTAAATGAAGCCAAACTGGATTTGCTTCATTGTTTTTGTGCCTTGCTCCTGCAGCTACAGAGTGTCCAGCACTCCCAAGTTGAACAGAGATTTCAACAAAGCAGTGAAAAAGCTTCCTAAAGTCTACAGCCCAGAATACAAGTCCAGATTTTACACGCTGATTGATGTTTTTGGCACCCATTACATCACCAAGGTGAGTAACAACAAGCATTACTGAGGCGAACAGGACACAAAGAGTTAAATGAGCTGAATGGGTTCATGATGCTGTTTCAGGTGAAGCTGGGAGGACAGATCAAGTCTGTGACCAGCATCGCGAATTGCGAAGCGAGTCTGCAGGGTCTGAGAACAGAGGAAATCCAAATGTGTCTGGAGGCCGAAGCGTCTGCAAGCATCAAAGTTAATATAAAAGCAGAGACAAAGCACTGCCAGACGTCTGCAGATAAACTGGACAGCAAGAAATCCTTCTCCGACACCTTCAGCGACAGGTACAGAACATTTATTATGCTACTGCCTGGGCTCGGCGATTACTCCACAAAACCGATTAAGCAAATCTTTGGTTTTGAAGGTTTATTTTTGGAATATAAGATTTTTTTCCACCAATGCACTCGGGTTTTCCATAGTTTAAATCGATGTCAGCACGGCCAAAGCCGCCATCTTGTTTTACAGCTTATTTTTATTTGGACTTTTATTTTGATTATGAGAATTCTGAGAAAAAAACATTTAAAAATTCTGAGATTAATGTGAGAATTTTGAGTAAAAAGTCAGAATTCTTTATTATTACTAGTTGGCCCCAATCCTCTGATTTTCTGTCTCCAGGTTCACAGAAATAAAAGGTGGGCTCACCACAGACTCGGACCTTCTTTTTTCCGCCAACAAAAACCCAGACGCCTACAAGGAATGGCTCACTTCGGTCCCACAGTATCCAGACCTCGTTTCGTATTCCCTCTCCTCGCTCCACGAGTTGCTCCCTGAAAACACTCCGGTCAGGAAAAACCTGCGCAAAGCCATCAGCCATTACATTTTGGAGAAAGGCCTGTGGAGGAACTGCAGCGAGCGCTGTCAGGCCGGAATACGGACCGACTCCAAGGACTCCTGCGTCTGCCAGTGCCACAACGAACCAGCGGTGAACACTGACTGCTGCCCGACCCGGAAGGGAATGGCCCGCATCTTTATAACGGTGGTAAAGGCTGAGAGTCTGTGGGGGGACCACAGCAGCGGCACGGACGGCTACGTCAAGGTCTTCCTCAACAAAGAGGAGGTTTACCGTTCTTCCGTCATTGTAAACAACAACAGCCCGAAGTGGGGCGCCATCGTTGACCTAGAAACCAGGGACATCTCTTCTGGAAGCGTCGTGCGGTTTGAAATTTGGGATGAAGACAACAAATGGGACGACGACCTGCTGGGAGAATGTGAGCGACGCCTGTCTGCCGGAGTCTTAGAAGACGTGTGCCCTCTCCAACATGGCCGATTCTACTTCAAATGGGAAGTGAAGTGTATTCCGAGTCTGACCGGAAGTTTGTGCACCGAGTATAACAAGTCGCGCATGAGGGAAAGCCTGAGGAGCCTGTACGTGTCCCGTCACGCCCACCCGATCCCGAAATCCGTGCTGGTGGAGATGGGAGTGTTTGTGGATGAAGGGAGCTCCCACTGGAACCAGAGCCTGGCTGGCAAAACCTCGGTGTGAGCGGCTTTTATCCACATTTAGCCCAGCAAGTTGGCATTATTTCCAATATAGCGGCCTGTTGGCATGTTAATGATTAAACTGCACAGCAATAATGTCGGGCTGGGCGATAAATTGACTTGATCGATTAATCGAATCTTTGGTTTTTGAAGATTTAATTATTGGAAAATTTGGGGGGGGGGGGGTTCTTCTTTTCTTTTTTGGTACGAGGGGGGGTTGGGGCCAGCCCAAAAAAAAAAAAAAAAATAAAAA